ATGTTACCGGTTTCGGCACAACGGCCATCATCAGACAAAAAGTACCTGTAAATATAAAATAGATAAAAACAGTATGAAGAAGGAAGGAATACAAAACCTACCGACAAAATTATGGGCACACTATAACATTATTAAAAATTAAGTTGAGAATATCAAAATCATGTTGTATGGCAGGAGATTCATCACCGGGTTATCAGGCTCAGACACAAATGACTAATTTTTTTTTTTAAATTTACTGAAGAGCCAGAAAAAACTGGCTCTGATAAGGTTGAACATCTTATCCGAAAAATTGTTTTTTATGAATTTGAAACATGCTAAGCTAAAAGCAATAGCAGAATAAGACAAATTTGATGGTCAACACAAACTTTGACAAATGACAGTTGTACATGGAACACCAAACAAGAGTGAAGGTTATAGACTAACAACAGAACTAGAGAAGTAAGTACATAAAAAGGAAGAAGAAAAGGGGAAGAAAAAGAAGAAAGAAGGCAAGGTGAAGAGAAACCAAGGAGAAGAGGAGAAAATAGAAAGGTCAAAGAAACAAGAAGAGGAGTAAGGGTAGCATCTAGTGGAGAAACAAGAGACAGAAACAGAAGAAGAAGAGGAGAAAATTGTTACTTCGGAAACTCCAGTGGCGGGATAGCAACTACCAGAATGGAAAGAGCAGAAATTATGAAAAATGTAATGTTCTGAAAATATGATTACGTTCAAAATTAGTTTGATCATTGAGACATGAAACATTTTGATTATTAATGCATTTTTGAATTTCCAAAATTTCAAGAAGATTTAACCTAGGACCCTTATCGCAGATGTGAAGAATTTCTGAATTAATATTGACATCAAAGGAGTGATTAGAATCAATAATGTGATTGGCAAACGAAGATGGGGAGTTAGGATCAACTGCAGTCAAGAATTTGTTAATCAGTCTATTGTGTTCAGAGAAACGAATTTCAAAACTTCTACCTGTTTGACCTATATAAGCAGCATTACAATCATTGCAATTCAATTTGTAAACCCCAGATTTTTTATTGAGGGGGATCCTGTCTTTGGAATTAATAAAAATATGTTTAAGATTAGAAGTAGTTTTAAAAGAAATACGGATGTTCAGATTTTTGAAAAGTTTTGCAATCCTGAAAGTATAATGTCCGAAAAAATTAAGAGATTTATATATAGGAGGAACTAGAGGTTGACTGGAAAAGACATTGAACGTTAGTTTGAACTTGGTATAAAATTTAAAATAGATTGACATGACATTTTCTAAGGGGTAATGGTTGTTAACTGCAATCTGTTTGATGATATTGATTTCTTTAGAAAAAGCATGATCAGAAAGGGGAAGTGAGAAAGCTCTATAGAACAGACTATTAAAAGCTGAGTACTTATGAGAATGTGGGTGATTAGAGTCAAAGGGAATTATAGAATCAGTTGCAGTTGGTTTTCTATAAACCTCAAATTCAAATCTAGAAGTATTTTTTGTGATAAGTAGATCAAGGAATGGCAGAGAGGAATTGGATTCAGTCTCTATCGTAAAACTAATATTGGGGTGTAGAGAATTGATGTAACCCAGAAAATCATAAACATCCTGGAGAGAACCATCAAACAATAGCAAGCAATCATCTACATACCTGTAATAAAAAACTAGTTTAGAATTGAATCTTGGATTGTTCAAGAACTGTTTTTCTAAAGAATTCATGAATATTTCTGCTAGCAAGGGAGATAAATTACTACCCATGGCAAGACCAGTGGTTTGGCGGTAGAATTTATTATTGAATTGAAAAAAGTTTTGGTTGAGGACTAAAGATAGTAAATCACAGATATCTAAAACCAGGTGTAATAAGATATTATTTTCCAAGAGTAAATTTCTAACAAGACATATGCAATCATCCGGAGGAATACTGGGGAACAAATTGGTGACATCAAAAGAGACTAGGACAGAAGCTGGAGGGATATGAACGTTTTTTATCTTGTTGGCCAAGTCCACTGAATTTTTAATAGAATAGCAATTGTCAAATGCAGTCAGATCTCTTAATCAGTTGTTGAGAGATCTGACTGCATTTGACAATTGCTATTCTATTAAAAATTCAGTGGACTTGGCCAACAAGATAAAAAACGTTCATATCCCTCCAGCTTCTGTCCTAGTCTCTTTTGATGTCACCAATTTGTTCCCCAGTATTCCTCCGGATGATTGCATATGTCTTGTTAGAAATTTACTCTTGGAAAATAATATCTTATTACACCTGGTTTTAGATATCTGTGATTTACTATCTTTAGTCCTCAACCAAAACTTTTTTCAATTCAATAATAAATTCTACCGCCAAACCACTGGTCTTGCCATGGGTAGTAATTTATCTCCCTTGCTAGCAGAAATATTCATGAATTCTTTAGAAAAACAGTTCTTGAACAATCCAAGATTCAATTCTAAACTAGTTTTTTATTACAGGTATGTAGATGATTGCTTGCTATTGTTTGATGGTTCTCTCCAGGATGTTTATGATTTTCTGGGTTACATCAATTCTCTACACCCCAATATTAGTTTTACGATAGAGACTGAATCCAATTCCTCTCTGCCATTCCTTGATCTACTTATCACAAAAAATACTTCTAGATTTGAATTTGAGGTTTATAGAAAACCAACTGCAACTGATTCTATAATTCCCTTTGACTCTAATCACCCACATTCTCATAAGTACTCAGCTTTTAATAGTCTGTTCTATAGAGCTTTCTCACTTCCCCTTTCTGATCATGCTTTTTCTAAAGAAATCAATATCATCAAACAGATTGCAGTTAACAACCATTACCCCTTAGAAAATGTCATGTCAATCTATTTTAAATTTTATACCAAGTTCAAACTAACGTTCAATGTCTTTTCCAGTCAACCTCTAGTTCCTCCTATATATAAATCTCTTAATTTTTTCGGACATTATACTTTCAGGATTGCAAAACTTTTCAAAAATCTGAACATCCGTATTTCTTTTAAAACTACTTCTAATCTTAAACATATTTTTATTAATTCCAAAGACAGGATCCCCCTCAATAAAAAATCTGGGGTTTACAAATTGAATTGCAATGATTGTAATGCTGCTTATATAGGTCAAACAGGTAGAAGTTTTGAAATTCGTTTCTCTGAACACAATAGACTGATTAACAAATTCTTGACTGCAGTTGATCCTAACTCCCCATCTTCGTTTGCCAATCACATTATTGATTCTAATCACTCCTTTGATGTCAATATTAATTCAGAAATTCTTCACATCTGCGATAAGGGTCCTAGGTTAAATCTTCTTGAAATTTTGGAGATTCAAAAATGCATTAATAATCAAAATGTTTCATGTCTCAATGATCAAACTAATTTTGAACGTAATCATATTTTCAGAACATTACATTTTTCATAATTTCTGCTCTTTCCATTCTGGTAGTTGCTATCCCGCCACTGGAGTTTCCGAAGTAACAATTTTCTCCTCTTCTTCTTCTGTTTCTGTCTCTTGTTTCTCCACTAGATGCTACCCTTACTCCTCTTCTTGTTTCTTTGACCTTTCTATTTTCTCCTCTTCTCCTTGGTTTCTCTTCACCTTGCCTTCTTTCTTCTTTTTCTTCCCCTTTTCTTCTTCCTTTTTATGTACTTACTTCTCTAGTTCTGTTGTTAGTCTATAACCTTCACTCTTGTTTGTTGTTCCATGTACAACTGTCATTTGTCAAAGTTTGTGTTGACCATCAAATTTGTCTTATTCTGCTATTGCTTTTAGCTTAGCATGTTTCAAATTCATAAAAAACAATTTTTCGGATAAGATGTTCAACCTTATCAGAGCCAGTTTTTTCTGGCTCTTCAGTAAATTTAAAAAAAAAATTAGTCATTTGTGTCTGAGCCTGATAACCCGGTGATGAATCTCCTGCCATACAACATGATTTTGATTTTCTCAACTTAATTTTTAATAATGTTATAGTGTGCCCATAATTTTGTCGGTAGGTTTTGTATTCCTTCCTTCTTCATACTGTTTTTATCTATTTTATATTTACAGGTACTTTTTGTCTGATGATGGCCGTTGTGCCGAAACCGGTAACATGTATTTGACGATATAGTATTATATAAATGTGTGGTCGACTGACTTTGAGTCTTTTGTTTTTCTTTTGTTATCAACAGTAGTCACAGCAGGTTTATTTCACTAGCTGCAATAATAATTGAATTTATTTCATGACACATGACCACCTTCGACCTAGATTCATTTCATATCTATTCATGAGACTCTGTGGAGCCTCATGTAATTATTTTGAAGTGGCTACCAGTTTCTCTGTGAATTGAATTGATATATGCTGTTACAAAGGAGTCCAGGATACTTTATTCCAGCATTTCACATGTTGGTGCACTTTTATGCAACCTGTTTCGTTTTGAGTAACGAACTGAACGTAATACGTTTTGCCTAGAAATAAATTGTTGGCGTTATACGGTGAAAGTTCAGATTTTTATGGTGGAACGTTTGGAAGAAATATAACGTTGTCAAGATGTGCATCAGATATGAGTTAGAACCTGAGCAACGTCTGGATGATAAAGGGTAGCAGAAATGGGAATAAATATGTTCAGGAAAAATAATCGAAAATAATAACAGGTGTTCTGATCATCTTTCATCTTCCACTTAGTAATAATACGCAAAATAAACAACATTCGGTGATGAAATACTTTTCCGCAGAAGTACGTTTAATATCAGCTACTTGGATGTTTCTTCTATCACATTTTGTTAGTTATTGATTATAGTAGGTTAGCTTTCATACTAGGCTCGTATCGTGGATTCATATTAGGAGAATCAATGGGTCGTCAAACTAGGACTGGCTTTTTTCGATGAATACAGTGCAGATCACAAGAAATACTTCTTTGGGATGTTGAATTGATGTCTGCCAGTGGTACCAATGGGCTCTGATATATCCTTTATTGTGCTCAAGGAATGATAATGCTTTGAAGGCATCACTTTCGTGAACCAAAATATATTTGGAGATATATTCATTAGACTCACCTGTATATTCACCACTTTTGCTGGTCGATATTCCCTCCTTCTTCAACAGAGATCCGTACTCCTGTTTCCCGTTGGGCAGTAGCTTGTAGGGCTCGTGGTAGACCGAAGAATTCTCGCTGTCGGATTCCTCGCCAGTCACGTGACCGTACAAGTTGCATTTCTTCTGCTTCTTGGAGGTGTCGCTGCCGATGGTGTTGTTGCCGCCTTTGCTTTTGACCGACAGCCTCGACCTGGACAGGCTGTTGTTGATGATTGGCGTTGTCATCGTGTTGTTTTTCAGGTCTTTCATGTTGATCGTGGTGGGTTTGGTGCTGCTGGATACCAGAGCAGTGTGTTTGTGTAGAAGAGCCACCTGAAATTGAGAAGAATGCTTGAGGAAAATCTTCATATACTGTTGAGAAAATTTCAGAAAACGAAATACACGGAACATTATAAGAAGCAAATATCTGGAGCAATAAAAAGGCTCCTGTGTCAGTCAAATAATTGAACTGTAGAACAGTGACAATCTAAGCTGCAGCCGTGCGATAAACCCTCAGAAAAACCTTTAAACATACTGTGCAATCGTCAAAGTCAATCAGATTTAAGTAACCAAACGGAGTACCACATTCTGTATACATGATCATGCAGAGATGAAATTCCATCAAACTACAGGCAATATACAATGGGCCAATACGCCTTAATTCAGTAACCTATATGTACTGAACATGACTTTCGGGATTACCACTCTACCATGCAGGGGACTGTTTCGTGACTCATAAAGGATTTCGACGACCTCAAGATATATTGATAATTCTGATATCCATAATGTCTTGTGATGTGACACATTGATCGGGAACATACTCAGATCAAAGATTATTGGTTTTCTCACAATATTAATAATACTCCTCCACAATACTTACGAAAGGCCTTCAGATGAAAAATGGCGTCATGTGAAGAAACGTGAGCAAAACTACGAGTTGAGAAAATGCTTGTGAGAATATATTCTCCAAATGATTTCCAGCTGATTCTATCTTTATGATTCACGATAAAAATACTTTTGCTGAAGAAAATAAATCTCAAGAAGCATTTACTGTCCTAGAGATAGATTATTTGATACAACGAAAGTTGAAATACTGGGGTTCAAAACTCAGTGGACTAAAAACAATAGCAGCTAGACTGAGATAGCATGTATCATGGGTATCTTCAAGAGGAGGAATTTTTTTATATCTTCTAGATAGAGAACATAATATCTGGAGATATACGAGATGTGAACCTCTACATGTCACCTTCAACTCCGGATATAGACCTATCTGAAGGATGAAATGCAATTCTGGTAGTGATATGGAACACATATATCACCTTGGTTGTATCAGAATCAGATTGATATTTCCTACTAGAGAGGGAGAAATGGAAATCTTCTGACTTCGGATACCTTTTTCCGTCCATAGTTCAGATTTTAGACAGTATACTGAAATGTCTCTCCTCATGCCCCTTGTCAGACATTTCTGAGCCTAGATCCATCGCTATTTCTACAGCTCTCACTGGACTGAAATGGGGGCTGCTATCTGAGATAGCATAAATATGTATCATGGGAACCTCTGAAAATAGAACTTTCAATAATTTCCTTTGAGATGAAGGCCAAGATGTCGGGAGATAGGGGAGATGTTGAACCTAACTCAGGAGATAGACCTTCTGAAGAAAAAAATTACATTCTGCAAGTATTTATGACAACAAATATCTCCGTGGCCGTATCAGAACCAGATAGTTATCACCTACTTGAGAGGAAAACATTAAAATCTTCTGACCTTGGATACCTTTTTCTGTCCTAAGTTCAGATGTTAGAAAGGCAGAAGTTACACCTTACGGAGATGTTGAACCTAACTCAGGAGATAGACCTTCTGAAGGAAAAACTGACATTCTGCAAGTATTTATGACAACAAATATCACCGTGGCCGTATCAGAAGAAGATAGTTATCACCTACTTGAGAGGAAAACATTAAAATCTTCTGACCTTGGATACCTTTTTCCGTCCTCTTCTAATCATCAGAAAAACCGTGCACGCCAACAAGAGGATGACCATAGCCAGAGCTCCGGTTATCAGGCCGATGTACGCCTGGGTGCTGCTGGTAGGGCTTGTTGCTGGAGTGACTTCCTTCCTGGCGTGGGTGGTTTCGCTGGGCACACCAGGACCAGTGGTAGTGATCGCGGTGTTGTCGGGAAGCAGGTAGTACCGCTGGAGCTCGTCCTCCGTGAGGTTGTTTGTAAGACCAACTGGAAATAGAGGAAAAAGGTTACAGTTTCGCCTACGAACCACTTTGACCAGGGCACGTTGTAGATTATTTCATATTATATCGGCCTCTAATGAAATTCGTTTCATGGTTGTTAGTAGCAAGTACCGTTGGAGCTGGTCCTCCTTGAGGTTGTTAGTCATACCAACTGGAAATACAGGAAAGAGGTTATAGTTTCGCTTACGAACCACTTTGACCAGTGCACGTTGTAGATTATTTCATATTATATCAGCTACGAATGAAAAACTTTTCATGGTGGGTAGTAGCAAGTAAGGTTGAAGATCGTCCTCAGTGAGATTGTTAGTTGTTAGTTTCGCTGATGAAACACTTTGACCAACACACATTGTAGATAATTTGATATATCAGCTTCTAAGAAATACTTTAGCTGGTGGGAAGGTTATGTAGTACAGTTGCAGCTTGTCCTCAGTGAGGTTGTTAGTCGAACCAACTGGAAATAAATAAACAAGGTCAGGGTTCCGCTTACGAACCACTTTGACCAGCACACATTGTAGATCTTTTAATATAATAGCTACTAATAAAATACACGTTTCATGATAGGTAGGTAGTAGGTAGTACCGTTGGAGATCGTCCTTAGTGAGATCTTTAGTAAGACCAACTGGAAATGAAGAACCAAGGGCTTTGTCAAGTCAGTCGTTCGACCATAGAGGTGATACCAGAATGGTCAATTTTTGACTCGACTCCCATCAAAAGTTAACGAGGTGAGTTTGTGGGCAGGTTTGAAACGTGACCGATATTCCTAAATAGCTGGTTGGTCAGACTGATGGTCAGACTTCAAACTGAACACTGTCCGGTCAAACCACAGACTTAACACAGCCAAGGTCAGAGTTTCACTGACGAATCACTTTGACTAGCACACATCGTGAATAATTTCATAAATCAGCTTCTAACGAAATACTTTTTAGTGTAGCTAGTTTATGTAGTACCGTTGGAGCTTGTCCTCAGGGAGGTTGTTAGTCAGATCAAATAAAAAAAACGAAGGTCAGAGTTTGACTAACAAACCACTTTAACCAGGACACGTTGTAGATCATTTCATATTGATTCAGCTACTCGAAAACTTCTCATTCTAGCGCGTTATTTGCAAATTGACATACCAGAATAAGATTTAAATCCAACTTCAAGTTGGAATACCTCTAATGTGTAGCCTACAAAAAACAAAGGTTATGGAGGAAACAACTATAATGGGTTCGAATTCTGGAGGTTATAAGTTCTTGGGAATATTAGTAAAAAAATCCAAAGCTTCGCCGTTCTATAGAGGAACGAGTTCTGATAGAGTGTTGTTCGACATTTTCCAAGGTTAACGACGAAAGGATGTGTCAACTGGGCTTGTCGAGATCGTCTGACTGGTATTGCTAGTGATAGAATTATAGCAGAGGTTTCTGTAGAACATTTGCTATGGAAGTATCTATAGATGAAACGTGTGATGAGTTTTTAGTGAATCTATGATTTCATTTGAGGTGGAAATTCATCTATGCTACATATACGAAACATAGAACATCCAAGATGCAGATGCTGATGCAGAAACAAGGCGAAGGAGTTAGATGAGCGTCTTTACAAAAATAGAAAACTAATTCACATATTACTAGATACGAGCCAACTCGTTCAACGGAAGGATTGGAGGCGATGTAGCAATATATTTATTGCGTCATCAACATCTATTCTATCAGAAGCCAGAATCCCCTGGCAAATCCAATTAGAACCTTCCTCAATCACTATTTCACGGATTGATTTAACCTGCAGTGAAAAAATAATCAGAGACCATTTACAACACAAACAAGCCATAAAGAAAGCAATCACGTAAAGTTCTGAAAGTTTAACAGCATCGGGTCGTTACCGTTGAGAAAGTGCATCTCCCCCCCCCCCCCCCCCCGCACCTATTTTCTACCCCCAGACCGTCTCACTCCGCAACCACTCGAACTAAATTACAATTGAGCCCTTTTAATCAAATAACCTACGATCTCCGTCGAGTATTCCGCTAAACTAACTTATCTCCCGTCCATTAACTAACGGCGGCAAAAAATCAGAGTCGGTAAAGTTCGGAATTTAAAATGGGTAGTTTTGTTTGGACGGATTTGATAATGGAATGTGCTGTTGCTAATAGCATAAAAAAAGACTCTTGAGTTGGGAAGTTTTTTTGCAGGGGATCAGGATTTGTCCCTTCGAAAATAGTGATTAAGAACAACCGTCTGAAAGTGATCACAAAAAAATCTGGATATCTTTCTCCGCATTTAAAATCAACCAACACATTTTACTTATGAATGTAAAAACTTCACAAACGATAATATTTCCACGAAATTCTCAAACACACGACTAAACTAACCTTGGCTTGCTTATATATTCTACTTTCCCAACCTGAAGGATTAGTTATACCTGTGGACAGGTTCGATCAACCTCCATTTTCGGAAATTAGGCACAATATCTACATTGAAATACGGTGTACCGGTAGAACAATTTTTTAAAATTTGGTGTACCGGAGTAACTCGAAAGGGTTGATATCAAATACATATTATTACTTACTAAGAAAACAAATTCAACAGTGGTGAACTATTGAGGTCAAATTGATCGTTAAGAAAAATGTCAGAATTCTTTAGTTTGGTGAATTCTAATGATTCAAAATGATTGAGTTTCATTCCTTCATTTTTTACGTGTAGTTTCTCGGAATTATCATCAGAACTATGGTTTTCTTCTGATATATGGTTGTCGTATGTGGAATTTGTTTTCTTTTTCAAAAAATTCATCTTATATGTTCATGAATGCGCTGATTGAACCTACGACCTGTCTGATCGATATAAATACCTTAGGACAAGATCCACAGTTGAGTTTGTATACCCCTGATTTTTGGAATTTAGAAGTTTTGTCTTTATTATTCTTGATTAACCGTTCCAACGTGTCATTTGTTTTATATGCTACTTTAAGGTTCTGTTTATGTAGAAATGAAGCTAATTCTTTAGTTGATGATCCAAAATAGGTTGAAGTTCTATGATTTTGAATATTATTTGAATGTGTTGCAAAAATTAATTTAGGTCCCTAACGACACAATGTAGTAATTGAATGCCAATAATTCATTATCAGTGCACTCGCCTATTTGGAAAAGATCACACGAATGATGAGGGTGGCTGTTTGAATTGAGACACGCTGTAGATTCGCGGTACACACATCAGATCTATTTCAGCGGACGCTGAGCCCAGTGGTGTACGCACATTTTTCTCTAAAAAAATTGCTAACATGGGATCTAGATTTTTCAGCCTCTGAATGCGATCTATATAGTAGGCCATAGTTTGAAAAAAAATGGACGCCTCTCAGCTTCAAGATACACATTTTCCCCCTCTAGATTGGAAATCGTGAAAATCGCTGAATGAATAAAATATTTATGATGATGGTCCGCTTTCAAATGGGTCACTCTGTATCTACTCGAAAATACTAAAAAGTACATCAAATATCACAACTGACAATCGTATGAAACACCAGTCACCACCATATTTCTTTGCATATTTTGCATAGTGTCACGACCAAGGTGGATAGAATATGGTGTAATCACAGACAGTGTTTTGTTTCTTCCAAAACGCTTGACCGCAGATTCCGCAATAATGGCATATTAGTTCTCAGTTGTCCGCAAAATGATGACACTTTTTACAGATTTCTTTCATGACAGAAAACGGAAAACAGCGGTTACACACCGCTTGCACCAGAAATAATAATATCATAACATAACCTCCAATCAAATGAGATTGGATTTGAAAGCAAGAAACTGTAATTTTGGGTAATTTTAATTATCATCAGTTCTACCAACCTTGAATTTTGGTTGAGATTTTGCCATCTAACGGGTCGCATTTTACCTATATTCCGCGATATTGAAAAAAATCCTTCTGCAAGTAGGCCGTAGGTCAAGAACTTTGACCGAAAAACAGTAGATGAGATTTGGTACCAGTTTCTATACCATCTTCTGAATGCCAATAATTCATTACCAGTGCACTCGCCTATTTGGAAAATATCACACGAATAATGAGGGGGGCCGTTTGAATTGAGACACGCTGTAGATTCGTTAATGTTGAGTATTTTTTCATGAAACTTGGTACAAAAAAATCGCTAATATGAATTCTAGATTTCCCAGCCTCTGAATGCGATCTAGTAGGCCTTGGTTTGAAGAAAAATGGACGCCTTTTAGCTTCAAGATACACCTTTTTCCCTCTACATTGAAAAAAAAATCGTGAAAATGAAATATTTATGATGATGGCCCGCTTTCAAATGGGTTACTCTGTATCTACTCGAAAATCCAAAAAAATATTTACATAAAATATGACAACTGACAACGGTATGAAACACCACCATATTTCTTTGCATATTTTGCATAGTGTCACGACCTGGGTGAGACAGTGTTTTGTTTCTTCCAAAACGCTTGACCGCAGATTCCGCAATAATGGCATATTAGTTCTCAGTTGTCCGCAAGATGGTGACACTTTTTACAGATTTCTTTCATGACAGAAAACGGACACCGCTTGCACCAGAAATAATAATATCATAACATAACCTCCAATCAAATGAGATTGGATTTGAAAGTAAGAAACTGTAATTTTGGTGAATTTCAATTATCATCAGTTCTACCAACCTTGAATTTTGGTTGAAATTTTGCCATCTAACGGGTAAAATGCGACCTATATTCCGCGATATTGAAAAAAATCCTTCTGTCAAGTAGGCCGTAGGTCAAGAACTTTGACCGAAAAACAGTAGATGGGATTTGATACGAGATTCTACACCATCTTCTGTTCATCCTGATCACGACCTTCACTGTTTCACGCACAATCAGGACCAAGTTGAGATAGAGTAGGCCATGCGGAGCAATCCCTCTTTTGATTGTGGAAAATTGCGGAGAGATCAAGACTGCTGCGAGCGGCGCGAAACGGCCGATATAGATAAAAACCGAACGTGTCCCAACTTTTGAAAAGTGTAACAAGTAGAAGAAGCCGTGAAAGTTATCTCCAGGCTTTTGCTGGTGTTTTATCGTCCTCCGAAAGCCGATTTATCCAGTGCGAAAGTGTATGGCGCCGGCGGTTCGATTTGGATTGGCGTCGAGACAGAGGGGATTTGGTATTTAATAGAAAATACTAATCGAGATAAGATTGATTTTTGGATTATCTCTTCCGGAGATTGGCGAATCACGTCCGGAGGTGCCTCTAGGATCTTTTTAAATTTAATTATTTTTCTGCCAATTTGGACTATTTGGAGATGGATGGTTTAAAATGCATGACTAAGCACCAATGGATGGATATAATCAATCCATTTATATTATATCATTGAAATGGAATATTCTCAAATATACAGTGTGTCCCACTTACCATGCTCACCTTGGGTATCTTTTTAACGGTGAGAGATACGAGGTCGGTTGAATGACACCAAATGTGGAGTTTGTCAAGGCCAACTATAATATGAAAAAATATTTCGATAAAATCTATTCGTTTTTGTTTTATACGCAAAAAACAGATTTTGATCAT